TGAAAGTAACGAGTAACTTGAAGTAACTGAGTTACTTTTGATAGAAGTAACTAGTAATGTAACTGAGTTACTAATTTAAAGTAACTTACCCAACACTGCTCACCAGTGGCTGGACAAGCACGATAATTTAATGGAAAGATATCCTTCTTTGAATTTTCTTTCTTTTGAGTAGATTTACTAGACTGTCACTCAACATGGCTGTCCGGTATGTGTATATGAAATCTCAAAGCTATTATTCTGATGGTCTTAACACTCAACCGATGCGCCTGTCTAGCTATGTTGTGTTTATTACTAGCTGCTTTGCCACGGTAAAACACTGGAATGTTAAATCGGGTGATGACACGTCTGGTATTTGCCTTTCATTTTCCCTCCCCGCACTGAATGTGACCGCCTGTTATTCGTGCACAGTGTCCATGTTAAATGCTGTATGGTTCACTGTCAACAAGACGATGCAGTGAAAAAAGCAATAGAATTTATTGAATCCAATGTATTTATGTTGCTTCACAACTGCTTCTCACTTTCATGTCAGCTGACACTGGAATTTATAACAACAGGCCTTGTGTGCCGAGAATAGACCAACAATCAGGGGGGAGCATGTGAGCGGTCTGTGCGTCTGTATGGAAATCATTGATGGGTGTCAGCAGGTGATCACTCTCTTGTCATGTGTGCACGTGTTGTGTGCACACACTGAAAACAATATCCATCTTGGAACTATATTTAACCAAGGGCTGCTACTGCATACTGTGTTCAGTGTGTGATAGCAGTGAATTGATTCTCAGTGCAAAGCAAGTAAAAAAAAAATGGCAATAACTGTTTACTTACTTTCAGTTTTTTAAAAAAATCACTGAAATACTTCAAATGGATTCAGTCTTTCTTGCTTTGTGTGTTCTTGTCTGATAAGTGATAGCTCTGCAGTGCTGTGGATGTGCGTATCTGAGGCTGTGTGTTCGCTCTGCATCCAGCAAATATGTAAATTGTTGTGAATTTAGCTGTTAAGCACACTGCAGGATATTTGTATACAGATATTCATTCACAGATATAGCAGCAACAAAACATCTTAAAATTTCATTACAGTTGTTAAAAGTATTTACAGTTTTTCTACTGTGAGAACAGTGTCACCATAGGTTTACACCTCACAGCATTTTGTTATTACAGCAGTTGTATGTAGACATTTGAGTGTTTACTGCTGTAGGAGGTAATGACAGTTTGTCCCTGTGGGCTTTTCATTTCAATTTTATTTATATAGTGACACATCACAACAACAGTTCCCTCAAGGTGCATTTTATTATAAGGTAATGACCCTACAATAATACAAAAATAAAAAAAGAAAAATAAAATGAAGAAAACCCTGACAACTTCCCATTATTTGGAAGGAAAAAGGAAAAACCTTTTAACAGGAAGAAACCTCTAGCAGAATCTGGCTCAGGGAGGAGTGGCCATCTGTCGCGATTATTAGAGGTCAGGGGGGAAGACACGACAAAGAGAGCCAGAGATGAATAATAACTAATAATTAAATACAGAGAGGTGTATAAACACATAGTGAGTGGAGAAGGTGATTGAATGTGCAAAACCCACGTAATGCACCTGATCGAGCCCTAACTATATGCTTTATCGAAAAGGAAAATTTTGTTTTTATGTCTTTTTGGGTTTTGTTTAGTGTGTGTGTGTTTTTGTTTTGTTTCAGACATTATGAAAAGCAGCAAGGCACATCACTGCACATTAAAGAGCCACAGGTAACAAGCTGCACATCCAAGGACAAAAAGTCTGCAAAGAACTTTAAACCTGATACTAACTTGTGTCCTGTTGTAGCTGGATTACATTTTGGACTGACAGCTTAAACAGTATTTGAAACAACTGTCCAGTGACATCTCATGCAAAGGAAGTTAAAGTTCACTTCGCCCATCTTAACAATGGAGCCTACCCATATAATGTACCAGATTCAGCCCAAAACAGTGTAGGGAGAGAACGATAAAGCTAACATAGAAATACAAGAAAATAAAAAACCATAACAGACAAAGTGAAACTAAAGTGGTTTGCTGGATTACCCCAGGGAATGTCCAGAACTGAAAGCCCAATAAATCTGATTTTAAGGTGAACAATTGCTTGAAAAGATCATTTTATGTTGGTGCCAGCTAAAAAAAAGTTTTTAAAAAAATGTTTTACACTCTGAAAGCAGTGCCTGTCTTTCAGTTCACCAATGAAGTGTATGTATCTGATGGAGGAGGAGCATGTTAAACAAATTAAAATAATGTACTGGTTCTGCAGAACACTCGATCATTTCTTTTCTGCAGAACACTCGATTATTTCTTTGTGTTGAACAGAATTAATGGTGGACTCACATCATTTAAGGGTTCATATTGGGCATGTGGGGTGTTTAGCTAAATGTTTGCCTTCTCTTGAAACAGCAGCCTCTTTAGCATCTGAAGCGCCTCTGTTTTTCAGAAATGATGCTGCCAGCTGCTGAAGTCAATGCGTAGCCTGATGACGGGGGAGTCCTACACTGCTGGTGTTTATGCTGATTGCCAGAACTTTTCAGCAACACCTGCAGAGGATCTTTTGAGCGCTTCTTCAATCAGACAGGCGCTTGCTCTGCATGTTGGACTGCTCAGTGAGACAGAGCTGGCAAGTTCAGAGTAGATTTGTTGTTTACAGTTTTTATCTCCCCTTGTGGGAGACCCTTTGAACTAAAATCCCACATCTGCCTGTGTTTCAGTGTCTGTTAGAGAACTCTTGTGTAAAACATTTTGCCTTCACTTTTTTCAAAACTTTGTCTCTTCGGAGAAAACCCCTCTGTTAAAAGGAGAAGCCGCCGTTTTTACAGCAGTGTATTGGCATCGCGTGACAGCTTCACTCTAAAATAGACTGTGCGAAGTCACGCAGCCTGCGTGATCGAGCATGTGTGAACCTGAGATGACTGGGGTGACATGCAGAAGCTGTGAACAATGGAGGCGCTAGTGTCGGCTTCAGTTTAGCTTTTTGAAACTGACATGTGCTCTTGTTGTTGAAGCTCGAGCCATTCTGGCACCTGGCAAATCCTACGAATGCCAGCTGACCATTAGCTCTGAATTGGATAACTAAGTGAAACTACAGTTCTGTGAACAGGGACAATATTTCCCAGCATGGCATTCCAGCAAACACACTGGAAATGTGTTCATTAAAAACTCACATTCACCGGCAGACAAACTCACATATTCCTGCTGTACTTTTCATAAACACACGCAGGCAAAAGCAGCAACGTGATCGCTCAACTTACATTCTTTTCCTGCTGTCCAGCAAAATGCTGCCTGCACTTGAAGTCTATTCCTCTAGGTTGCTACTGGAGTAGAAACTCGACATCTCTGATACTGTTTTGGAGACACTCCAGGATGATGAACCATTTGAGGTGAGGTCCATGGAGGAGCTGTGTGGTCTGGCCTCAACCACAGCCCCGCCAGGCGCTGGGCCTCCTATAACTTTCACCTTGGGCTGCTCTACATCGTCCCCAACCTGTAGAATAGTAGACACGGTGGTCTCCATCCTGCTGGCCTTGTAAACACTTGTCTGGGTCTGAAGATAGCGAGTGGACTTGAGTTCGAGGCCTTCATAGGAGCCTTGAGGGACGCAGGGGCAGCAGCGGAATGCTTGTTTAAAACCAGCTCGAAACCTGTGGAGGAAATACACAAATCAATCTGTTCTCCTGTGATTTGTGTCATGGTCCTGGGTCATGTAACCCAGTATTCTGAGTTTCTTGATGTTTTTGTTATTCCTTTCAGTCTAGTTTCATTTCAGTTTATCTAGTTACATTCTGTCATGCCTAGGT